GTATTGTTGGAATACTGAAGCCATCCACAAAAAAATAGAACAAATATATTGTAATGCATTTTGCAATCTTGTTTTACTCTGGGCCACTAAAAAACCCTTCCCCATAGAACCCAGAAAACCTTCAATAAACAGTAGATTTTATTTATATGGCTACTACTCTAATATGTTTTCTCTATCATATATCTTTTTGTATCCTTAGCTACTATAAATATATTTGTCTATAAAATACAGATTTCCTTTGGAAATAGTCAGTATGAAAATTTAACAAAAAAATTGCATTTACTCTATTTTTTTTCTTCAATCAAAAAATAACAGTTTATTAGGACATTCCAGTTCCTATCCATTGATTTGGTGCAAAAATTTGTTTACCCACATCTCATAAGCCATACACTCCAATCGAACATTATATAAGAAAGCAGGTAAATTACTTTTAAGCTGTTCTAGAAGTAATAATCAAGCCAAATGCAAATGTTATTCCACATCTTTCTTTTTCTGGAAGAGAAGACAAAATCATGAGTACACATTAGCATTCTATAAATTATTGTTTCATGATTCCTTAACCCTTTAAATCCCAAGATCCAATTAGTGTTTCTCCCTACTGCTGGTCATACAGTTCCTTGTAAATTAGGCAAGGGAATTTGGTGTTATATATTAATTACTAACCATAGACAATGTGAATATTGTTAAATTAAATCCCAGAGAAAAAGTCAAGGGGATTAGTCAACAATATTCACTGAGGCTGAAGTGAATAATGGTTTTAGCATAATTGCTCAGTTGCTTTCGAATTTTGTTGTAAATTCTGTGTACTCATTAACTTTTGAACTGAACAGCGCCATCTCCTTACTTTATCCACCTGCTTTGACCCTTTCATTCTCAAGAGTAACCGAACAGGATTATCTTTAAACTATCTCAATGCATTTTTGAGCAGAACAGACAAGAAGTAAGATAAAATACCACTGAAGGGATATTGTTTGATTTGACTACAAATTCACAAGGCAAAGATCATTTTAAATGTGTGGCTGACAGGGCAGAGAACTGAGATTTTGTTCCTGCCACTGAAAGGGTAAAAACTTGAAGAAAACCCCTACTTCCTTGTAAACAGGGGAAATACAGTCATTTGTAAGCAAGGAGATATTGCTAAATTACTTACCTTTTCTTTGTGTTTTTTACTAACTTTCTTTGAGCTTACAGACACTCTTCTATTGCCATATACTTTACGAGCCTCTTCTCTCTCATCCGCATCAATGGCATGGTCATCAAGAACCAGTAAACTTGGAAGATGACTTATAACATAACATCTGAAAGCATAATCATGGTTAGAACACATTGGGCCTTTTTTAATCCCCTGCTTAACTGATTGCTGTGGAAGGAACATATATATATATCTATTCCCCAATATGGAGAGGAGAAGGCATAGCACAGTGCTGAGAGCACTTGCCTCCTAAACCTGGCGTCGTATAGGAGTAGAGTTTGTTATTGGTTCTTATGTCAATGCTCCAAGGCTTTTTCTCCAAGTCCTCTGTTTTTTCTCCCTCCACAAAAACCAACACTCCATTTATTCCAATTTGACTGGAAACAGTAGACGAAAAAAGCCACCCAGTGGAATGTCCATTGCTAAATTCCCATTTATTAATTCCCATTTAGACAAGCAAATAAACTCAAGATAAAGAAGTCCCAGTTTGAACTTTACTCAACCTGTAATTGTCTTTTAAAAGAAATTGAACACTCACAGTGTCTTCCACAAGAAGTGTGAATGGGTACCTCCAAACTTTTAGGAACTTGACAAACTTCTTCTAGGGGGTGTGTAGCCATTGTGGTGAAGAGTACCACCACTCCTAATTTTAGGCACTATGTTATGTTAAGGCTTGTCAGGTTATTGAACCTAAACATTAGCTCATCCAGATCAGACTAACAAGCTCCATACCTGTAATCCTTGTACTGCTGGTAGGTTCCTCCATTAAAATAACTTGGGGCAGCCTCATTGTTCATCATGCTAAAGTACTTCAAATTCGGGAAGCATTTTGCTACAGTCTCAATAAAAGAACTCAGATTTGTAATTCTATTCTGGTTTACCCACAGTGTGTGAAGTGACTTCATGCGTGGAAATTTCACATGATTTGTTAGGTTATTATTGTCCAGAATTAATGTGTTGAGATACGGGAAATCCTGTAAAAATTGAAAGTCACTTGTTTTGGTCAAGGAAAAACTTTTGACTCCAACCTTATGATCTTAGCATTAATCCCAGAGCATCTTAAGTTTTAACATTCTCCTCCACTCAAGGTGTCTAGCTATCACTAAGATATTAATTATGTAACCCTTAACTTCCAAGATCTGATTGTTACTTCTTCACTCTAGCTGCTACACATTTCCTTGTGAATTAGTTACAAGAATTTGGTGTTAGATCAAGATGACAACTTCTACCTCATAAGCTTGCGTATTCTCACTAGCTGTTTGCTGGGTAATGTATGGATAATCTAGGGAGAAGTTATATGTTAATCACTTTTGTGAGCTGAGGGGTTAATTAGGGATCTGAATGAGTGAATCCTTTAGTAAATAGCATTTCCTAACTGGCTGAATTTTGATGGCTTAAGCTAGTTTCAACCCAACGTGAAGAATATCAACCTATCCTGTTACTTTCCATAACAGCATAATTCTCTTGCTTTTACAGAAATAATTCTTACATGGCAGACGAGAGATCAAGAAGATATACCATGAGTGCATGTTACCAAAACGATAAAATTCAACTGTTCCTCTCTATGGAAAGACGTTTCAATTTCATTTGAATGAAACTGAAATGGCAAATCCCCATTTTACTTTTTAAAGAATACCATAACTTTACGCTCTATGTGTTATCACAAGCAATATTCCGCGGTATTTAAAAATATTTTTGATTAAGAGCTTTCACTGAAGTAAACAACTCCGTTATCTACCTTTGGGATTAAACCCTCAAATGCAAACATTACAAAGGATACGTCAAATTATTATGGCTTAAATCCAGAACAGTTATGTCGTCAAATTTTCCATCCCAATCTGTAGGCAGTTCAGTGAGGTCTCGATAAGCCAGAGAAATTCTTCCGGGATTGTTCGGATCCACCACTATAGGATTCATGGCGCTGAACGTTCAGTATACTATGAAAACAAGCACATTTGTGAGAGACTTTCTTATGACCAATCTATTTGAGCTACAGGGTAGGGTTAGTATCAAATATAAACTCATTTCTTTCGGGTAAATCATTGATTAAAAACGGAATAAAGCAGCTCCTTAATCGTTCTTCTATATACTTTGGAGCTAAATAAATAATATAAAAGCATTGTAGCGGATCAAAATAAGGATTGCTGCGCTATGGAATTTCGAACTCTCTCACCCCTCCTGCATCTAAATCTGCTCGACAGATTGCTAGTTATGAGCCCGCAGGTACTCAGCTGAAATGCAAACGACTGCACAACCGCCATTTTCAAAATGGCGACAGTAAACGAGCTCAAAAGTGGTACGTTTTAGTCAGGATCTCATTCCATGTAACTTACTTAGTTATCAGATAACGGCATATGCCTTGATATATCTATTATTTCTTTCAGTGTTAAAAGAAACATTGGAAAATAGAGGTGTACTTGGTCAAATTCGAGCTCGAGTTCGTGCTGAGGTGTTTAGCGCCCTTGACGATCAAGTTAGTTGACCTGGAAGCTTACGTGCTTCCGTGTTCATTTTCACTGTTCTATATCTTTAGCTGCTCTCAAACTGTTCATAGATGAAGACATACAACTTTGCATGTGTTCATGTTTATAATTCATTTTGAACTGATGCTTGTTTGCGGGTTAACGTTTTCATATATGCCACAGCTGTACATGTTTACCTGCACTTGTCCTACACAGTATTTTTGTTGGGGAACCATAACGATATACAATTTTCTCTTCGAGTATTGCCACTAAACATAAAAATACTATTGCAGTATTGGCTTTGCGTACACTCACAAGATCTGATAGAGGGATTTATCTTGAACGCCTATCGATGACCAGTGCTGAAGTTCACGAATACTTTTGTGTGAATATCGTTACGTTATAGATTGACCGATGCCATTTAACTAACTGTAATCGTTTGCTATCGATTGATCGATTGATTTTCCGATCATTGAATAATTTTCATTGATTGTCCAGGTCCTGCAATAGGCTTATTCAATTATAATTTTTCATAACGGAACGAAACATAGCGATAGCTTACATTAAGTTCAGTAGGGGTTAAAAAAAAAACTACTTTGAACTTTCAATTGTTGATTTTCAGACTGAACCAAGACCTGCCCTATCTAATGAGAACCTGTTGATCAATGAACTTATAAGGGAATACTTGACTTTCAACAAATACAAATACACAGAGTCAGTGCTCCAAGCAGGTATTGTACATTAGCATGCTTTATGTAGCATGAAGCAACTACAGTAGAAGTATTGATACTCCACCTGGATGAGATACCAACCCATTACTATGCCTCCACCTCCCTCCAGCATTTCAGTAGGCTGCCCTGACAGTTTTGCCAAAGAACACAACACAATGACTTGTCTAGGTCTCAAATGCAAACCTCCTGACCAAAGTCATGAATGCACTAACTGTAAGGCCACCACATCTATCTCCTATTTAAATCTGTGATATTAGTTTTATATTTCAACCTGAGCTGTGTTTCAGTAACAAGCCATTGTATTTTTTTAATATTTTGCTGTCTTGATGAATAACAGAATCAGGTCAACCCAAGGAGCCCATGGACAGAAGATTTCTAGTACAAGAACTAAACATTAAGGAGGAGGAGTCACCAACCATGTAATTAATGAACATTTCACAGTTTTAATCAATTTATTTATATTTTGACCTGGAGGATTCAAGCAAAGAAATGATCCTTTTAAGACAGCTGCAATTAGGTAAAGGATTACAGAATTTAACATGATTGTTTGATCATTTACCACATGATGAATGTATATGTTGTGATTCTATCTTATCCTTGGTTCAATTTTTTTTTTCCTTTGTTTCAAACTCATTATCATATCTTACAATACCCAAAAACAAAAGAAAACATAACTCGAACCAAGGATAAAATTGAACCACAACATATACAATAATTATGTTTACTGTTCCTAATCAGTGAGTCATACATCCATGTTATTTAAATGCAGGTTAAGAAGCAGGAGTACTATACCATACAGAGATTCTTTTGATTTGGGAACCTTAAAAATTCTTTTGATTGTTCTAATCCGATTTAATGATCATCAGCAAGATGCACAGCTGATAAATACATGTTTACTCTTAGGCCACTCTTGTATGGGATTTTAGCTCATTTTCTTCAAGGAAGCCATAATGAAGGGAGACAATTTACAGGTGCAAGACAAGAGCCCATGTTGAGATCTCATACAAGAGGTTTGTTTGTAAGATCAAAATTTGGAAATTTATCAGTAAATTCAAACAAAAGTCTAACTACTTGGACACTGGAAAAATATAGAGGCTTTTTCAAGGTAAACAATTTTTCCCAGGATGCTCTCCATACTCTTCCCACATTTGAAGGGAAAAACACCCTGGAAGCTCAAGGTTTTTCAAAAACTGCGATTGTGTCTTAATTACATGAACATAAAAAGAGTGCTGCAAGACAACATTTCCCTAGTAAAGTCTTGATATAGGAAGATGTTGATCTGTGATGCTTACCTTTTTACATGACTACCAAAAAAAGAAGTTTATAAGTTGTAATGAGACTGAAGGGTGCACAAAAAAGAAGCTAGGGAGGGAATGGTCATCAAATAGTGACTGCAGCTGAGCTTGGAACAGAACAGATGAGACCAAGAAGGAAACTTAACTCAACAGAAAGTGAAAAGATAAATAGGAGATGAAGGGGCAAATTGCCACTGATAACCGTTTTGTCCAAGTTAAAACCACCAGTTTCTCAATATTCTCAAAACAGAATCTTGAGTACTTGAACATCTTTGCCAATTTTTCCTTCAAGGCATTGAGCCAAATGAAACTATGCATTTGCCTCTTGTATTAACATATGGTCTTTTTATGTCACTGTTTTGCTTTTAATTTCATTATTTTGAATAGATCAGCGATCAAGAAGAAATGCAGAAGGCTCAGGTCTTTTGGGAGGTAGAGGTAAAGAATACGATTTCTCTTTTTTAAAAAAGTGAAATTTCCTTGTATGGAACACTACAATCTTCAAGTCATGTGAAGTGGCATCATTTTGGTTTAGTCACACCTGCATTTCAGGAGTTGTTGTCAAATAAGCCCTGATATTTTATCAATAGTAGTTGCAGTTTAACTGCATTACCTGATATCTTGGCCAAAGATGTCATCCTCAAAATCAGTAAGGATGTTATTCATTGAGGAAGAAATTCAGTAGCCTTCACCCCTGGTAACTTTATTCATGAACTTACTTAATAGATATCCACTGCTCAATTTCAAGTGTTCATCAAAAAAAATTATTGTCGCCCTGATTTAAATAATGACATTTATGTTGTTATTTTTTGTATAACAGATGATAGAGGTAGAATGGACGCAAGCTTCGTTCATGATCCTGAGCCTGTTGTCGTTAGAGGAGGGAGATGACACCTTTCATTTACAACTGTAGTGATAGAATATTACCATCTTGTCCATGATTTCTCAATGAAAATTTATGTACAAAGATTTAAGATTGTCAATTTCTTAATTAGCTAAAAAAAAACAGTAATTCTCCTGCTTCATAATTGTATTTGGCAGGAAAAGAATTTGGAGACACCAGTGGCCTAAAATGTATGGCCAGTTAATGAGAAATTGAGATGGTCCACCTCAATTAAACAGTTCTTACCATGTTGAGAATTATTGTCCTTGATTCAATTCTCTCGAACACACAACATTATATGGCAATTTGAAGCTACGTGTAAATTTACATCATGATTAATGTAACTTGAAGAGGTCAGCCTTAGTCTTTCAATTTCATCAGTTGCAATCCGTTTTAATCTTCTCCATCCTCAGTCCTCTTCGGTCCATCTTTGTGTTACCTCTCTTGTTTTTCTATCTTATTAAACCAATAGTTGGCAACCTTCAATCTGGAGGTAGTTTTTTTCCGGCGCTAAATATGATTCTAAATTTTCAAACTTAGATGCGATAAAGAAGGGACTAGTGGAATTGTTTTTCAACCCTAACAGTCATGAATTTGACGCCATATAACCACAGACAATCAGCCATACATGTAAAAAATCCACGCAGCCATATGAACAAAACTACCAACCGCCGAATAAGGCAGCGAGGCAGCGTTACAAAAATCTCCCATGCAGCAGCTGAAGTCGCACTTTAGAACATCGGGACGATCGCAAGTTGGATTATACGCTGTACATTGAGTGTTAGATGTGCATCTCTTTAGGAAGAGCAGGCTTGTGTTAGTGACTCCTGCCTCCTTGCTGAGTGTCAGACACTGATCGTGCATATACGGACAGTTGTGGGCTTGCTGCTGGTTTTCACAGTCCGACCAGGAGACATCACTGGAGCAAATGTAACATTTTACTCCTATATATTTGTAAAAAAAAAAAAAATAATAATCATTTGATCATCATAACATATCGAGAAGGTAAAGTTAAGATACCTAGTTGTTGATACACTCTCTATCTCCAAGGGGAGAAATGGTAAAAAATACAAACTTTAAGTTTCTAAACGGGAGCTGTCCTTAACCAATAACTTTTTTAATTTGCGTTTTAAAGCATTTTGCGAATATGTGTTTACAAAGTTTAAAAAAGTAATATTCCTGGGGTTTTTATAGAGCTTGAAAAAGCGATTCCACTGAAGAGGAGAAGGTTCATTGTATGAAAAAGCGTTTGAAAATAAAAAGCATTTCAAATTATGTGCAATTTGATGGAACGCGAACCTCGACAGCAAATTGATTACATTACCACTTGGAACTCGATTACATTTCCACATGTTACGATGAAAAGGAGGTTTGACGCCAATAGGAACTTTTCTAATCAATATTTCTCACAGTGTTACTATCATGGCTGCTTTTCCACATTCATCCCTGCTTAGTTAAAAGTGAAGTTAGTTACCCGTGCAGCGACCCCATTCTCCGTCCCGGTCAAAGTCATCTGTAGTCGCACACCAGTCATCTTCGGAGGGTCCCCCACTGATACAAAAATGCATCTTTTCACCCATAAATGTGAATGGAAACACACAACATTTGCCTTCTTCTGTCCTTTGTTCGCATTCAGTGCCATCCTTATTTCCACAAACTAAAGATAATCGAAATCGTGAAATGAAACAATTAAGAATCACGCGATTCAGATGATTTCCGGGAAAAGCCTTGATAGAAATGAGCAGAATCCTAGCTATTTCCAAGCCAGCCTATTACGCTTCACGAACCACAAAAAGATAACCTCTTGAATTTTCTTTTAAAAGGGTAAATATTTATAATTAAGAGATAGGTAGATGTAAAGTTTTTCCTTAACCGAGGAGGAAATGGTAAATATTACTGTCTTCAAAGTAGTTCGTACAACATAAAACGTTCATGGCGTTATTGATGAATAACTTTAACCTCTGACGTACCTTCTCGCAGGATTGCAAGGACTGCTAAAGCTGCTGGCAATAATAATTTCATTGCTTCTGTTTTGAACTGCGAAAGGTGGGTGATTGAAGCGGCTCACCTCGTTTGTGGCAGCAAACAGTTCGCTGAATTTAATATTCGCGATTTCTATTGTAAACAAGATCTCTCCGCTCTCCAAAAGGCACGTGTTTCACGGCAAAACTAGTACATAGCCTCTTTCTTGCGAAAATATTGTGTGAGTACATTAAAACTCTCCCATAACCATCAAAGCTGAAGTCAGGACGATAAATTGATACCTTGTAATATAATATTCTACCAGCCCTTCTTGCATAGATTTCATGCTGAGAAATAAATTTTGCCAATTAGAATGATGCATGACCCAGCTTGTGATTTCGAATGAAATATGAGAAATTTAATTACACTTTTATTAAGATTCGTAGAGAAAATCGACAATGATACAAAACAGAAACTGGTATCGGTCTCCTGTCAAAGCGAAATGTGTAGTGATGTTTCACCCAACATAAGGTAACAGCCGGGCTTTTTTTAAAAATCTATTTTAGGTTTATTTTTGTTGTGGTCCCTGTAGGACACTTTTTTACCAGCTAAAATTCATGTATTTCATGTGAATTGTTGAATCATTAACTATTTATGCACAATGGCTTTTTCCGCTTTATTTTTACCAGATTCTGACCGCCGAACGATTAGCTGGGCTGCGTTCCTGAACTATTTTACAAATGTAGGCTCTTTTCCGTAATCTCCTTTAGCCGGCAGTGCGCTTGCGGTGATTAAGATAAATTATTTGCTGATCCTCCTCTCAAAAATTTCGCACCTCTTTTAATTTAGGATTTGTTTGATTTTCAATTCATTGAATTTAAAAAGGTTTTGTGAAATCCACTTAGCACTTAAACTGTTTTTTGCCGGCCATTTGTTCACACAAGTATTAGAAAAAAATGATTTATATTTTTTCATTAATCCCCCTTTAGTTGTTGTTGCTGTTGATGATTTTTTTGTTTTTGTTGTTGTTGTTTTCTTTTTAATTTTTGCGACTCCCTATCGTTCGCTTATTCACTTGTTTCAGAGGGTTTGTACAAAATTCTATGCGCTTTTTGACGCGAGGTACTTACATATAATCTCTTGCGTAAAATGTGTGAAATAAAATAGCCGAAGTGTATTGAAAATTGACATGCGTGCAATTTG